AAAAGTGCAAGTTTCTGCAATATTCCTATGATTTTTGATATTTTTTTCGGTGACGGTGTCATACATTTTAATCCATTAAAAAAATTTCGAACACACTTTATATGGAAAAAATGCATGCAATTGAAAACTTGGAATCCCCTTAAAAATTCTTCAGTTCATAGTTTGTTGTTGGGAAAACCTGCTGAATTTTTATAATTTTTGTGCGAAGGTTGAAATGACGATTATGGTACATATAATAATAATAATAGATTGGCGCTTACACATATGTTAGTGTTTGGCCGAGCTTCTCCTCCAACTTGTGGCGTGCGCCTTGATATTGTCACACAAAGCGGAGGAACCTACAGTTTTACGCCGACTCCGAACGGCGATTGTATTTTTATGAGAAGCTGTTTTTCATGGCAGAAATACACTCGGAGGCTTGCCATTGCCTGCCGAGGGACGACCGCTGTTAAGAAAAAACCTTTTCCTAATTTTTTGCGATGTTGCTTTGACCAGGGCTTGAACCTAGGTGCTGGTGAGTGAAAGCGCGCACTGCTTACCACCACACCACAGCGGCCACCATACATGTACATATATTGTGTTTATTAAATTATGAAGTAGACTTTTATATAAATTCTTTCGAAAATAATCAATGAACAGAATAGGCGAAACTGGTCAATATGTCTTACTGCCTTTAAAGAATTTCATAATACCTATATTTCGGTGTATTTCCCCTCCACACTTATGCTGGATTTCCTCTAGTCATTAAATGGCAAAATGAAACCAATTTTTTTGTCATTTCAATGCCTAGTAGAAATTCAGCATTACGTTTGTAGCTTTTACAATGGGCGCACATGCACAACTATTTACGCCATTGTATGCTCTGAACTTGAGTAATTCTTGCGGCTGTTTGCAATTTTAGTGATACTTCTTGATTTTTACGGTTATTTTAAAATTAATCAATTAATGAAACACAAAACTACGATACAATCTTTAATTTAATATGGAAACCCCTAAATACTCAAATACCATAAAAATTAATGAGATCATTTTTTTAACCCATTTTAAAAAATTGCAATAAAAAATAAAAAATAAAATTAAATAAAAATTCCTGCTCTGTGACTCGTTGTTACGCCTATTTTCATACAAAGCAAAGTATGTTGGACAATTTCTAGTAGGGAAAAAAATGAGCAGCATCTTGCATTGCATTTTATTATACTCAATTTTAATGCGCTACAAAATTGGAAAACTAAAATTTTTTCTTAATATTCTGATTAAAAAGTTTGAAATTTTAGTCAAACTTTACAGAATTTTCATAGTTTTTGCACAAAGTCTGAAATTTGGTTTTATATGGCTTTTGTATTAGGAAATGAGCTTTGCTTTCATAAAAGAAAAAAAAAATATATGTATTCAATAACTTTATTGAGCTTGGGGGTGTTTTATATGAAAAATGTTGTAGAAAAACAACAATCATTTACAAAGCTAGAAATTATAGTTCCTATTTCGGAGATCACCACGTCTCCTTCAGACTTCTTCAACCGCGGTCATTGGGATAAGAACCAGCGACCTCGGATTACAAAGCCAGTGATCTACTCTCACTGATCTAAGTTCGCTACGTAAACTGCAATCAAGGACAGCTATTCTGCTGCTATTTAGACTCGATCACGTAGTAGTTGTTTGTTGTTGGTTTTTGTTAATATTCTATTTTTAGTATATTTAACTTTTAAGCTGTGCTCGTCCTTAAGGATTTGTCGTTTTTTATTTTGTTATTTATGGCCTTTAGAACATTCAACAATTTTATTGAGCTAGGGGCCGTTTTATAAGAAAATTGTTGTAGAAATAATGTTGAATATGATTTTTATAAGGGCCATAAATAACGAAAAAAAAAACTAAAGAAAAATAGCTAAAAATCTTCCTAAAATGTCGAGTCCTATTTTATATTTTGGTCACTGTACGTGTTCCTCGATTCGAATCACAAGCATCCAGACTAGAAAATAATAACTGTTTATAAGGAAAATTACTACCATATACCAACATCACTTAAAACTAGTCCATAGCCATGCAACTTTAATGAGCTATTAAGGCGTCGAAATACCGAACACCGAATACGGGACAAATTGAGGAAATTAAAAGAAATACAGAAAATTGGGTGTCCCGTATAAAATAAATAAATTATTAGGTCAATTGGTCAAAACAGAGGACTGTCCCGTAAAATACAAGACGGATGGTCACCGTAATCACAAAATAAGTATGGGTTTTCTGGAAATCCCGCCTCCAGCGCCACCTAAGAGACCCATTTCACGTAGAGGTATTTCTCTTCACATATGGAATTTACATTTTAAATTTCTACAGAGTGTGATCATAAATACGTTTTTCCTGGATATCCTGACTTGAGTGCCACCTTACGGATCCATTGCTCGCTAAAGTATAAATTTCAGTGCAAGTTTGAAGTAGCTTAGGCTTACCACTACTTTTTGGCAATTTTTTGTTTAAGTATTTTATTCTCCCGACTAGCACTCCAGAGCTTTGCTTTGTCGGCCAATGCGACTGTTTAAGCGCCGCGAGCAAAATGACATACTTATTCCTTTCATGGCAAGTTAATTTTTCCTAAGAAGAAAGAAAATAGTACTGAAAACTAAGGAATTGTGTTTTCCATAAACTGAGTTAAATCGTTTACTCATATTAAGGCAGCCATTTCTTTGGAGCTATTTCAAAGTAATATTTACTTTTTCCTACCATCAACGAATGTTTTTTCTGAGTGTACATATGAATTTTAAAGTGAAACCAATTTACCCATTTTGCGTCCAAACTACGCATAAATACGAGTTGGTCAAAGTGCTTTCCGTGAATTTGATTTCTAAGCTGCGTTGCTATAAGCCCTGTTTGGGAAAAAAGCCTTTCGAATGGAACAGAGGTGGCGAGTATTGGTAGAAATTTAAGTGCCACTTTATAAACATGGTTATATTTTCCCTTCAAAGGAGCCCAGGCGGCTAGTGGATTGGGATTATCCACACGACTAATGATCGTGCTCATCGGCGTAGCCAGAATGAAATTTAGGGGGGGGGGCTCGACCCTATTAAGCTGGCATTTCAGGGTACTATTTTTTATATATATAAGGAAAATTTCAAAGTTAGGGGGGGCTCGAGCACCCCCCTTCCCCTACCCGGCTACGCCCATGCCATTTAAACAATATCGCATCTCAAAGACACCAGCAATAGCTTGATCGGTATTGAAAATTTTATCCGTTGCGATTGGTGAAATTCAAACCAAAGACTGTCTGTTCATGTCCATATCACTCACGTTCTCTAATGAAAAACTTTCTTGCATGAAATTTTTAAAATAAACAGCTCGATATATCTTACTTCATTATTAACTTAAGATTCTGGAGGAAAACGATTAACAATCCTACTTTCATCCACACAAGTATGTCGCATTCTTTTTAAATTCGTAGGAATTTGTTTTCGTATTATAATTTTATGCGCTGCTCTTAAGTGATTTGACAACGCTGTTGTACTGTTATAAAGATTCATTTCTGTACCATATTTTTTTCATATCGCTTAAGTTTTATTGGTAATTTTTTTTTTTTAAATAAGACAAAACAGCATTCGGCGCTATTGTTAGAAGAAACGTTTTAAATTAAGAATTGCTAATGCAAATGAATTTAAAAAAGTCGAAAATCGACAGTGGAAAGTCGACTTCAGTCTACTTGCATAAATTGAAATTCGATCATTAGAAGTCGAGTTTTAGAAGCAAAAAGTCGATTTTGGTCGAAAGTCAATGTCGACTTTGCCATCCCTACGCCGCACAGTGGGGCAAAAAATGTTGATGTGGACAATTCCATTTTGAGAGCCCATATATGAACCGATTTCAAATTTCTTTTTTTAAATAAAATATAATTAAATTTCGCGTCTATACTGCTTTTGAAATCCGTTTTTCCTTATCGAAAAACTCGAGAACAGCTGTACCAATCTTTTTGAAATTTTTGACATCGACTCTAGACCCTTGAAGGATGATAATAGAATAATAATAATTTCGAGGTATCAAGGGGCGTGGCACCTCCCATACAAACTAAAGTTTTCACACAACATATCTCTGAAAGTATTCATCGTAGGTTGCTGCAACATACACTAAGAAAAAGGCATTTCCTTAAAACAGGAAAACAGTATCCTCATTTTAGAGATACTGCTTTTTTTTAATATTACGAAAAATTTACTCCATTTGATAAGTTTTTCTTTAATTAAGGTTCATGCTAAAAATAGGGCGTCATTAATTTGAGGAAGTAAATTTACTCAATATAAGTAATAATTTCCTCAATATAAGTAATAATTTCCTTAAATGATTTTGAATTTTGTCAGTGCTTTTAGGACAAAGTTAATTGCTTTCCTGGCAATTGTCGGCTATGACGTCGCGTGAAGACTACTGGTTCTGGTTCTGATATTTCAATTGAAATATAAATTACAAATTGTAAAATTAGTTGCATATACGGAAAAACCTAAATACTAGGGTAAATTAGATAATTTTTTTTAAATACAATTTAAAAAATTACAATTAAAAAATAAATAATAAAAAAAAAATATTTCAAAAAAATTCCTGCTCTGGGACTCGAACCTTGCATCTCTCGACTAGCACTCCAGGACTTTGCTCTGTCGGCCATTGCAACTGTTTGAGCGCCCGTGCACAAGCAGCCGAATCTCCGCGTTGATACGGGTATTTCCGGGATCGGCCTGACGAAGGTTGTCACGCTCATCCGCTAGAACAGCCGCTTCAGCAGAGAAGTTTGGACGGGGGTCCATAATGCATCCTGCTGGTACAAAGGGAGCTGCAGCAGCAGTGACAACCCTGCGGAATTTACGCTCACCTACGTGAATGTCGGTTGGTCTGGTGTTTTTTTTTTTTTTTTTTTGTGATAAGCTAACAATTTTCTCCGGCGGGCATGCGCATACCGGAAAAAATTTCTCGATGAATGCACCTTACATAGAAGAATTCCATTGAATACTTCTAATTGCTACAGTTGTTGCCAATCCGATTACGCATTCTTTTTGTATTGGTAGCCTTCCAAATACCGACCGTAATAACCCTCCGTCAGTAAGTTTTGACGAATTTGTCGACATTAACAATGTTGATTTTAATCAGTTCTGCAATATGTAAATAGTAAAATTTAAAATTACATTTTAACCGATAAATAAAATAGTATGAATCTTGTATTATACCATATTTTGGTGTTTTTCATAGCAGCTTGCCAATTCCTTTACGAAGTTCCAAAACTCTTGTGCTAAGTAATAACCTCAGTCAGCAACCGCTCCAAAGCTTTTCCAATTTTGTTGTCCATTTCATTTTTTTTGTTTAATCTCTACTACACTTTTGGCCAAACCTTTATAAATTTCCATGTAAACAGATATATTTATAATTTACTTATCATAGAAATTCAAGCAATATTTTAAACTAAGTATTCGAACGCCTCTCCACGGTATTGATCATTTCGCTCTCTTCTTGAAATATGTTGTTATAATCGCTCATTATTTATTATTATACTATATTGATATATCTTTTATATTACAGGAATAAAAAAATTGGCACTATTATGTAAAAAATGTACAATTTTCCCAGAAATATTTTCTAAACAGTGTTCTTGAATATCCGAACTTAAGCTTAGTGTGCTCGATTTCAAAATCCCTAGGAGAGATGATTTAAGAAGAGAGGTGAAGAAATCATCTAAGCCTAAAACTAAATTGCTGTGTAGTATAAAACGAGTATCGAGTTTTTAATTTTAGTAACAAAATTAATTATCGTACTAGTTATTATGGTATTAGTTCCTACTCCACCTGCATACAAGTAGTTGCATACTCATCACTCATACAAACGTATTAAATGTTTTCAACGTTGAAGGAGTCTACTCGCGTTCCTCAATTTAATTTTTTCCTCCACAATTTTGAAATTTTTAAAATACGGTTGCTGAAGTTTTCTTTTGAGAAAAGTATAATATACTTTGCAATGCCGAATTTTCAATAACCGATGAATTTCTGTTGTTTTACGGATAAAAAAATGTACGAAAAACGCATGGTCCACAAAACGTACTTTTCCTTGCTGGCTGCGTATCAAACAGGTAGTAGCATAGCCGTATGAATAAAACTAAGCAATTGATTTTTCTTAAAATTTCTTCTCTACTATTTTGTTTGAATAAATCGAGTAAAAGATCTGAAATTTTAAGAAAAAGCAATTGCTAATTTTTTATTCCTACGGCCCTTATCACTGCTGTGATTTCTACTGCGCCTCAAAGTTAGCCGCTTCGACAGATATGCGCTACAATACACATTTTTAAGTTTTTGTGTATTTTTATAGCACTTAAAATCGAACTATGGGGCATATTTTGCGACGCACTAGAAATCACAATAGTGATGAGCTAAGTTATGTGACTATTGTACAATAAAAGACATGTAATTCCAGTGCTGTTTTCTGTACGTTTTTCTTTCGGTGACTTCTGGTAAATTTTTCCAAATTATCAAAAACTTTTGTAGACCTTGGCGCACTAACATGCCATCTTAACTAAACTTTGATGAAACTTAGAATTTCTTAAAAAACATTTTAGCGCTCAACATATTTCTTTAGGTGCTTGGCCAGGCTTCAATCTCCAGAGCGGTGACCGCTATTGGAAAAATATTACGATGTTATTAGATTGTACATGTTTATTAGTTTAATGTAGAGATAACATCTAAAACAAAATTTGTGCACAAAATGTTGAATTTATATGTTGTTTCCAAAATTATAAAGCTGATTTATAGTTAAATATTTGGATAGTTTCGAAATTACTTTAATATACCTATGTATTTAACTTAACAATATCTTATCAGAAAATTATCATAAAATTAACTAATATTGAAATTCTTCGGTGCTCAGCTCTTTTTTTGCAGCATTTCGCGTACGGAACGAAATACTAATTGCTCCCAAGCTTCACTATAAGATGCAGCATTTTCTGAATCACCCCATATAATCTTTTGTAGCTCTTCTGGCGTATGACTGAGAGGCTCAACGCAGAATGGATTCCAGCTAGGACTATATTTTGTTGTTCGTACTGAAACACCCTGTATTCTTTCAGGAAGAGCTCGCAAGTTAATGAAGGTATTGGTGGCTAGTTTTAACGAATGTATTCTAAGTGGTAAAATACAAATTAATACCTTGTATTTTTTGAACTAAATTTACAAAAATCTTACTCATCCAACGGTGAAAAAAGTAACCGTAGGCGATTTTCGGTTGTTTCCACCAACTGCGAGTAGTATTTTATCATCTCTTCTAACTGATCGTAATTTTGTCGGCGCTGTTGTATGCATTGTTTAATGATACAAAATTTCTTTTTCTGTTGCGCATAACGAATTTCCAAGTTTTCTAATATAAAGTTAATTTATTATTACGTTTCTCCATTCATATTCCAATAGCTCCAGATGCTCACCCAGTTTTTCGTGGTACTTAGAACTTAATTTGCTTAGTGCAATTTCGTGCTTTTCCAAAGCGATTTCACGGTTTAACATTGATTTAAAGCGTTTCCCGTAGTCGAATCTTTTCATTTTAATATTGTTAAATTGGAATAAATATTGCCTCCTAAAATTGCTTCAAACACGTCGTTACATCAAAACAATTCAAAGACGTCAAAACGAGCTGTAGACGCGATCCCTCCGAACAAAACAAAAATGATTGACAGTTTGTTACCGACACTGTTGCCAACCTTTTGTTTTTCGTACTAAGGGCCGGTTGTTCAATGTCTGATTAGTCTGATTCAGTGCTTTTCTTTACCGGCCATCTTTACGTACTGGCAAATCTCGCTTGTGTGACGACGCATGCGAGAAACCGCACGTGTAGACCGCAAAAAGTACGAAGCGTGCTTTTTCTCGCATACTGACATGATCCAACTACACAAGAACATATCGTCGCTGGAATAATGAAATAGTGTAACATGAAAAGTATAGTTTTGAGAAAAACGAATTGGAAGTTTTTATAAAGCATTACAAACCATACAAATACAATTTCGTTTTTGGGGAATAAATTAGTGAGCCAAAGAAATATTTAAGAAAACTAAAGATTTTTCTAATAGATTAAAGGATTGTCCATCCAATGGTGCAATTATCGAATAATATTGTATGTGGCATTTACACTATTTCTTTATTTGAGCGACGATATATACTACTAGCTCTGATCCAATACTTTTTTGTATAAAATCCTGTAAAAATGTCAAACAGCAAAATTACTCTCTGAAATGAGAGTAAAAAGTGAGTAACAACAAAAAGTACGGGAACAAAAAAAGTATTTTTCCTGTAAAAACGTCAACCAGTGATCGCTTGACACTTTTCATGATTTTACCAGAAGAAAAAAGTTCGGGTAAAATTTTGCAACTTCATTCTCTACACAACTCTCCAAAAATCGCTCTCATTTCCAGGATTTTGGAGGAATTTGTAGTACGGGATCATTTTTCCTGTAATTTCATGCAAGTTCGTGTAAAATCCTATACGTTCATGGAGTACTGGATCAGAGCTACTTTGTATTTGTTTACATGCTTGCACAAATAATTATGACTTCTTGAAGTAGAATTATAATTTAAATCGGACAACGGAATATTAAGGGCGATGAAAAAATATTTCCGATAGTATCGCGATAGTAACCACCATTCAACGATAGTAGTGACAAATTATAACTATCGATAATATCGATAGTTTTGCAGAACTATTGCAAAAGTTATATTTCAGTTTTTCAGTAAAAGTAGTTTTTCTTGGCAGTTTTTCCCTTTTTTTGTGTAATATATTGAATTGTGTATTCCCATAAGCTCTTAAACATCAATACATAAAGCTCAACTGTAAAATTTCTGATTTAAAATGAGTTCGGATAGTGATGACGATGGCTCGACTGGCCGTGGTGGAGGAGGCTCTGCTGATAGTTGCGCCGGCGGAGGCTTTGGATTCGATTTAACCGGAATTCTTTTTGGAAATATAGACTCTGAAGGAAAGTTGGTGGATGATGATAACGGCAATCCCTTCGATCCAGAATTTCGTGAACACATCAGTTCACTGTCCAAGTAAGTGCTTTGAGACAAATTATCAATTGTTATTAGAAATATTTTTTGCAGATTGGGACTGAATTCAATGCTAAATGAAGTAATAGAGACTGAAAAGGATGAACTAGACGAAGCAGATCCACCTAAACACCCAATGAGTGATTTTGACGCATTGAAGGCAGGGTTTTCAAGCACTGATGGTAATGAAGCTGATAACGAGGACGATGGTGAAATTGTGAAGCATGATAATGCTATCGACTACTCAGACATTAATGAGCTTTCCGAAGATTGCCCAAGGACGCCGCCCCCAAATGATACAAACATGCTTGAAGATCTAGAGGATGCAATACCCGCTACAAAAGTCGAGACTTCAAGTGAATAACTTTTCATTTTGCAAATTTATGGGAATTATATAGTAACATTTTAGGTCTCACCAAAGATGATAAGGAATTGATGCCCCCTCCTCTCGCACCGATTCGCAGTGTATCAACTAGCAGCAATAATGTAGATGGATCAGTTAAAGCAAATGGTTCCGATAGTTTGAATTCAGAAACAAAATCAGGGAAACGTAGGTTTCTTGAAAATGTAAATAGAATAAATTTAAAGATATATTTTTATATTAGCTACAGAACGCAAGTTGGATACACCCTTAGCAGATATGCTCCCATCTAAATATGCCAATGTGGACGTGAGAGAATTGTTTCCAGACTTTCGACCTGATAAAGTGTTGCGCTTTTCCCGACTTTTCGGGCCAGGAAAGCCGTCAAGTTTACCACAGATTTGGCGCAGCGTTAAAAAAAGGAGGCGGCGCAGAAAGCATTCTAGGGACCAGAAAGTACAGTTTTTTTTTAATGTTACCTTTCAAGATATATTTTATTAGTATTTTATACTAGAACCCAAACGCTGGATCTGACTCCACGAGTGATTCAGAGGAGCCGAAGAAAAAAGGGTTTGGTCTTCATTATGGTCTCGACGCAATGCCTTACCAATGTATGTCCGACGATGAAGATAAATTACTAAGTATTACAAACAGTGAAGATGTAAAACCCGAAGGACCAGAAAGTGGAGAAAATAACGAAAATAAACCAAAAATCGCTGACTGGCGTTATGGACCCGCTCAGATCTGGTACGACATGTTAGATGTACCAGATTCTGGGGAAGGTTTCAATTACGGTTTTAAAAATAAGCACATGACTTCACAAAAGGGAGGTGTATCCGACAGTCAAGCAGTAGTTCCAGTCGAAGACGATATAGAAATAAAGGGTGAACCGATAGCAGATGATGCGTTTTTGATGGTTTCACAACTGCATTGGGAAGATGAGGTTGTATGGGATGGCAACGATATTAAAGCAAAGGTGTTGCAAAAACTAAATTCAAAAACAATCGCCGCTGGCTGGCTGCCATCGAGCGGATCACGCACTGCTGGTGCATTCAGTCAGCCTGGCAAAACAATGCCCGTGTCGGGAAACACACAGGGCGGCAAACAAGGTAGTGGTGGCACCTCTTCTAGCAAGAAAGCTAGTCAAATGTATGTGGTCAAATCAGTGTTATTATAAGTAAAATCAGTTTGTTAATTCAAATTATTTCAGAATGCAAAGTAAGCCACCAGAAGCTGTTGACGATACGTGGTATAGCATTTTCCCTGTTGAGAATGAAGAATTGATTTATGGAAAATGGGAAGATGAAATCATTTGGGATGCTGAACAGATGACTAAAGTACCAAAACCTAAGGTACTTACACTTGATCCAAACGATGAGAACATCATTCTTGGCATACCCGATGATATCGATCCATCCAAAATCAGCAAAAATACGGGTCCTCCACCGAAAATTAAAATACCACATCCACATGTTAAGAAATCAAAGATCTTGTTAGGCAAAGCAGGCGTTATTAACGTCCTAGCAGAAGATACTCCACCGCCACCACCGAAGAGCCCAGATCGTGATCCATTTAACATTTCGAATGATTCGTAAGTTAAATCACACGAATTCAATTGAAATACAAAATTAACACTACTAATATCTTAAAGCTATTACCAGCCGAAAACTGAACCAACATTGCGTCTTAAAGTGGGTGGTGGCAATTTGATACAACATTCCACGCCAGTTGTTGAATTGCGTTCTCCATTTATACCGGTTAGTGCATTTATTTCTAAAGACAAACTTGCATTTTACTTAATTAAATGTGTAGACTTATATGGGCCCGATGAAATTGCGTGCTTTCCACCGTCCGCCACTGAAACGTTTCTCCCATGGTCCATTGGCGTCGCCAGGACCGCATGCCGTGCTCCCATTGCTGAAGTATATAGCCAAAAAGGCTAAACAACGCGAACTTGAGCGCATCGCTTCCGGCGGCGGAGATGTGTTCTTTATGCGCAATCCTGAGGACTTGAGCGGCAAAGACGGCGACATAATTTTGTGCGAATTTTGTGAAGAACATCCACCGTTGATGAACCAAGTAAGGCAGAAAATATAATAAGTATTTTTTATAAATACTTAAAATACTTATTTCTTTAGGTTGGTATGTGTTCCAAAATCAAAAACTACTACAAACGAAAAGCGGCGAAGGATAATGGACCTCAGGACTTTAAATACGGTGAAGTCGCATTTGCTCACACCAGTCCGTTTTTGGGAATACTGCACCCTGGTCATTGTATACAAGCGCTAGAAAATAATATGTATCGTGCACCGATCTATCCACACAATATTAATCCAACAGACTTCCTTGTGATTCGTAACCGGAGCAATTATTGGATACGAGCTGTGAACGCGTTGTTTACCGTAGGGCAAGAATGCCCGATTTACGAGGTACCCGGTCCTAATTCGAAGCGCGCAAATAATTTTACAAGGGACTTTTTGCAGGTACGCAAAACTGCAGTAGTGTCAAAAGTTGTTTAATAACTTTTAATTTCAGGTATTCATTTACCGGCTATTTTGGAAGAGTCGTGATAATCCGCGACGCATACGCATGGATGACATTAAGCGTGCGTTTCCAGCACACTCAGAAAGCAGCATACGTAAACGCTTGAAGCAATGTGCTGATTTTAAGCGTACCGGAATGGACTCCAATTGGTGGGTTATCAAGCCGGAATTTCGGTTGCCGTCTGAGGAAGAAATACGGGCAATGGTCTCACCGGAACAATGCTGCGCGTTCTTCAGCATGATTGCAGCCGAACAACGTTTGAAAGATGCTGGCTATGGCGAAAAATTTTTATTCGCGCCACAAGAAGATGACGACGAAGAAGCACAGTTGAAGTTGGACGATGAAGTTAAGGTAGCCCCATGGAATACCACCCGGTAGGCACTAAATTGATTTCAAACATTAGATGGTATTAAAACTTTTCATTTTTATAGTGCCTACATTCAAGCCATGCGTGGTAAATGTCTGCTACAATTAACGGGACCAGCTGACCCAACAGGGTGCGGTGAAGGGTTTTCGTACGTGCGCGTGCCGAATAAGCCAACAGTGAGTGACAGGGTCATATTAGAAATTTGTAATTCAAATAAGGATTTTGTTCGCCCTACAGCAAACTAAAGAAGAGCAAGAGTCACAGCCAAAGCGTACAGTCACTGGCACAGACGCTGATTTGCGTCGTCTTCCATTGCAACGCGCAAAAGAATTGCTTCGAAAATTCAAAGTTCCTGAAGAAGAGATTAGGAAGTTGTCTCGTTGGGAGGTTATTGACGTAGTGCGAACACTTTCTACCGAGAAAGCCAAAGCTGGCGAGCAAGGTATGGATAAGTTTTCACGTGGCAATCGTTTCTCTATTGCAGAACATCAGGAACGTTACAAAGAGGAATGTCAGCGTATTTTTGATTTACAAAACCGTGTTTTGGCCAGTTCAGAGGTGCTTTCCACCGATGAGGATGAGTCCTCGGCATCTGAGGAATCGGATCTTGAAGAACTGGGCAAAAATTTAGAAAATATGCTCTCAAATAAAAAGACATCCACACAACTATCACTAGAACGCGAAGAGCAAGAGCGTGAAGAGCTGTTGAAAAAAATCATGGAAGATCAAGAGGGTGGAAAGGCCGGTAAATCAAAAGATGGTAAAGATGAAAATTCACAGCAGCCAGTTGCGAATCCAAATCAGGGTCGTATACTTAAGATAACACGCACGTTCAAGGATCACGAGGGAAAGGAGTATACGCGGGTTGAAATTGTGCGCCGCCAACCAATTATCGACGCATATGTGAAAATACGCACCACAAAGGACGAACAGTTTATCAAACAATTTGCCACATTAGATGAACAGCAAAAGGAAGAAATGAAGCGCGAGAAACGTCGCATACAGGAACAACTGCGGCGCATCAAACGAAATCAAGAACGGGAGCGTCTTGCACTCCTAGCTCAAAATCAAAAGCTTCAGCCCGGTGGTATGCCGACTTCGCTAGGTGATCCGAAATCATCTACTGGTTCTTCGCATAAAGAACGTGATACACCTCACAAAGAAGTCAGTCCTTCACGAAAGAAGTTTAAATTGAAGCCAGATTTGAAGTTGAAATGTGGTGCCTGCGGACAGGTGAAATATATGAACATGAGATATTTGCGATAACAATAAGCAATTTTTTTTTTTTCTTAGGTTGGTCACATGCGTACTAATAAGGCATGCCCACTCTATACTGGTTTGCAAGGTCCTTCGAATTCTACCAGTGCTGCCGTCTCTGAAGAACAAGAGGAGGAGATCGATAAGGAGGTCAATTGCGAGGACGACGATTTAGTAAATGTGGATGGCACGAAGGTTACATTAAGCAGCAAGTTGCTTAAGCGTCATGAGGACGTTCGTCGGCGCACACTATTATTAAAAGTACCAAAAGAAGGAGTGGGTAAAAAAAAGCGGCGCATGGCGGGTGACTTACACTGCGATTACCTGCAGCGCCAAAATAAGACTGCAAATCGTCGTCGCACAGATCCGGTCGTTGTTTTGTCCTCAATTCTTGAAGAGATACTCAATGAGCTGCGTTCGATTCCCGATGTGACACCATTCCTCTTTCCTGTTAACGCCAAGGTATGTTTGGCTAAAGAAAAATGCAAAAAAAAAAATACAAAAAATTACTTTTATTATTGTAGCTTGTGCCCGACTATTACCGTATCGTCACGAAACCAATGGACCTGCAAACGATGCGAGACTACATACGTCAAAGACGCTATCATAATCGTGAGGAATTTCTAGCCGATCTCAATCAGATAGTCGAAAACTCGACCCTTTATAACGGAGCGCGCAGCTCTTTCACAGTTGCAGCCCAACGCATGTTGCAAAGCTGTTTCGAGCTATTGGCTGAGAAAGAGGATAAATTGATGCGTTTGGAGAAAGCTATAAATCCACTGCTGGATGATGATGATCAGGTCGCACTGTCGTTCATATTTGAACAGCTACATGGCAAGATCAAGTTAATGCAAGAGAGCTGGCCATTCTTGAAGCCTGTTAATAAAAAACAAGTCCGTGACTACTACACAGTTATTAAACGGCCAATGGACTTGGAATCGATTGGCAAAAATGTAGAAGGTAGGGCAAAATAAAAAAAAAATGAATTAAGTGGTCTAATAGGCAATGTTTTTTCTTTGCAGCCCATCGTTACCATTCCAGAGCTGAATTCTTGATGGACATTGAATTGATTGCGTCCAACTGTGAGCAGTATAATGGCAGTGAATCGCGTTTCACCAAAAATGCAAAAGTTATACTTAACTACGCGCGCACACAGTTGGAAGAGGTATTTCGAATTATGCAAAATTTATTGTCGTTACTAAGCGTTACTAAGTGGTCTCCCAATTGATTAGTTCTCCGAGCATTGTGCACAGCTCGAACAAAACATTAGCAAAGTACAAGAGCGTGCTCGTGCCGATGCTGAGTTGGATGACACTTGGTGCGGAGATGATCAAGACTATGACTTTCCACATCGAACGAGTCGTTCGAGTACACCCGAAAACGATTTTATCGATGTCGAAGGTAATGAGCGACCAACAACATCAGCTGTGGCATCAGCATCATCTTCAGCATTGCATCGTAGCTTTGTTGGTGGCATTACAATACCAGCACCTACACAACCAGGTGGCAGCGTGGATATGGCACCGCCGCCATCTGATGTTAAGCGTGGGCGTGGACGTCCGCGTAAACAACGGGACACGGTAGAGGAGGGTAAGTACCCGCATATGTCAATGGACAAAGCAAAGATTCTATGTATGCGTGTATAATTTCTTTCTTTAATTAATTCAACTGATTCGGTTAGCGGTCTTGTTTAAACTATTATGGCTTGAAAGGTATTGCAAAAAACTTTTCTATATCCATAAAGGCTTATATTACTTCTAAAGTCGTAAAAACTGCGGATTTCGGTCCGATGTTATACAAATTTCTGCTTTCCTGGTGTGGGTAAAATAATTTAGCTTTCTATATACATATCATAAATTGCTGGGTGATACTAATGCTAAGAGATAAAGCCTTGTATATTAAGAAAAAATTTATTGGAAGAAATCTTGTATATAGACAGAAAATAATAACATTTTAGCTTTTCGAGTGCCATTAATTAAGAAAAAATATTGATATTTTTGTGTTCTTGCTCGTAGCCTCTTTTCTATTAGATTTGTAGGGTTGCTAAATAATAAACCCCACATTTGAATCGAATTTGGTTCTACACAGCGGAAATGGACTGCGTTTATATTTATGAAGGTCCAAATATGTGCATCTCTTTTACAAATCCTAAAAATTTTAAAGTTTTAAACCTTTCAATTTGTTGTAAATGGGAGCAGCTCTCTTATTCAATCTGGCAGAATTGAACTTTTATAATCAAACAATTGTTTGAAGTTTTCTTCATTATGTTAACCTTTCTACCATGTGAAAGTTTCTGTTCCTCTAGCTGCCATTTTGTCGTAAGCTCTAACATGTGAAGACTTGTACACCTTTTTTAAAGCTTTTAAAACTCCTTATACTTTTTCCATATGTTTTGCCAGTAATGGATCTGCACTTTTTATTTTTATTTTATACTTTGTTAGTTTACAATTGTATTTACTACAAACATACATTTAAACTAAAAGCAGGCAATTAATATAAAAAATACATTCCATGAGCCAAACCATGGGTTAAAGCTTACACAAATTCTATTTTCTAGTCAAAGTAAATGCGAGCGCTGTTAAACGTGGGCGTGGCCGACCCCGCAAGGACAGCCTAGCCTCAAATATAAGTAACCCACAAAATTCCTTTTTGGAAGAAGGTAAGACTAATATTGAACTACTACTACTACAACAATAGCTAACCAACAAAACACATTCCGTCTAAGCGACACAATCCACTTTGAGGAATGCAAATCTAACAAAAGTTAAAAGCACACCAAATTGAAAAAAGAAATATTGTTATTGTTTGACTAAAACACAAAGCGATTCTTTAGTTCTTACCCGTTTGGCTTATACCCCTTTTTGGCACCCTTATGTTTATTTTTCGGTTGTGTTTATGTAATAAATCCCCTAATAAAACTTTTTAATATTATTTATTAGTTGTATTGTTTGGTTTTAGTGGTTTACGTAGTTTACAAAAGGAATTGGAAAAAAACATCTGATTTTCCTACTGCTTTGGTTTTTGCTTTATTTTATTTGAACACGTTAAAAATTTTTAATCATCTACAAAAACACTAAACTCTTTCCTTAATTGTGGAAGCGAGTATAAATTTGAATTTAATTTCTCACACCTTTTCGCTTTATTTGTTTATTTTTTTTTTTAAAATTCAGACTTGCAGTGTTCAACGGATGATGAAGAGTTCCAGGAAGTATCAGAAGATGAAAATAATGCAGCCAACATACTCGATCAAGGCGAACGCATGCAAGCAAATAGCTGCGGTTTGGAATCTGCCGGAGTGCTTGGAGTCGACCAAATAGATGTGTCACATATAAAAACCGAGATGAAAATTGAGCCGCCCCAACTTGCTAATGGTGGGTAAATTTGCCTAGTGTTTTAATATTAGGTACATACTATTTTTTTTT